GCGACTGTACCCTTATCCTGAGGCTAGAGTCCCTCATTTCTCATCCAGGCGACTGGATGTTACCAGTTTTCTCACGTCATGAGCAGCCCCCACAAGCTACAACCTTGAGACCGCAACTACCCCATCCATTGCAGGCAACTCTCTCCCTCTGGTTTTGCTAAATCGGTGTAAGACGTCTGTAGTTACACATTGCTCCTTGGAGAAGGGGGCTGTGTCTGAGCCTAGAGTGACCTCAGAATCATGGTTGGGAACCAGGTTCACCTTCTAAGTGCCAGTCTCACTCTGCAGAGGAGTGGGCTGCTGTGTGAGGGGTGGTAGCCCCTCGGTCTCCTGTTGGTGGAGGCCTCAGGGGAGCACAGAGGACATCTCCTCCCTTTGGATCCTGGCACCTGAGCCAGACACCGGCTCTCCCAAGAGGCAGTATACATTTCCAAACTGAGCTGTACACAGAGCGGAGGCCACAGGCCAGCTTGGGTAAGTAATGGCCGCCCTGAATCTCTACATTTTCTTTTCTTTTTTTTTTTTTTGAGACAGAGTCTCACTCCGTCGCTGGGTGCCAGGCTGGAGTGCAGTGGGGAGACCTCAGCTCACTGCAACCTCCACCTCCTGGGTTCAAACAATTCTCCTTCCTCAGCCTCCTGAGTAGCTGGGACTACAGGCATGTGCTACCACGCTCAGCTAATTTTTGTATTTTTAGTAGAGTTGGGGTTTCACCATGTTGGCCAGGATTGTCTCCATCTCTTGACCTCGTGATCCACCCACCTTTGCCTCCCAAAGTGCTGGGATTACAGGCATGAGCCACCACGCCCAGCCTAATCTCTATATTTTCAACTTTAAAAGATGAAAAAGGTGCTTTTCTCTGGAGTGCTGTGCCAATTAGGAAGAGGCTTGTGTAGAGTGGGTACTTATTGGCACTGCCTTCCTCCTGTGCAGGGTACTCCGGACCTTCCCTCCTCCCTCTGGGCTCCTTAGAAACGAGGATCAGCTCCTCTGGGCTTATGATCTCAGGCTGCTCCTTCACCTACCCTGTTTGCTGTCTGCTCCTGGGCAGGGGCCCTCCTTAAGGGCAACAGTGACAAGGGATGGTGCAGGCCCTGAAGCCAACCCTGGAGGCACCACTTCTTGCCTGTTGCCCCTATTTTAAGGCTCAGTGGGAATGCCCATGGCCAGCTCCACAGCAGGACAGATGGCTCTGTCACTGGCCTTGAGTAACAGGAGGCTCCTCTAACCCCACTGGGCAAGAATCAAAGATTTCTGCCTTCTTTGTGAGGCAATGTTACATGCATTAATCGCATTTGGACCCACTCAAAAACTCAAGAAGTGAGCAGGACAGGGACAGGGTATTTAGCCCTTTTTAACAGGATCAGAAAGTAAGATTCAGAAAGCCACTCAGCCAGTGTCTTGTAGCTCCCAGGGGCTGGGCCACACATCATGCAGCCTTGATGCCCCTCCTCCTCCCATTGGCCAATTTTACTGGAACCCACGGGTACCCGAGGCCTTAGGACACCTCTGCTACTCTTACCAGCCCCACTAAAATATCCCTAAGGACATCAGGCTCCAGGATGTGAATCTAAATGTTTGCAGCTTTTCTCAGGGGAACTCCAGTTATTATCATTTCAACATAAAACCTCAAAATAAACCCACATGAATTATGGACTAAATGCCCAATTCACAAGAAGTTTGTAAAATAAACAATGAATCATCTAAAATATTCAATGTATGTAGTAGACAAATCTGAATTGTGTGTCCAGGTCTATCCCCAGAGCCTTGATAAGTAGAGGTTCTCTAGGGAAAGAGTTTGAGAGCAAACTTAGGCTTAGGAGAAGCAATAGCGCTGAGGCTGAGCGTGAGATTTGATCCTAGAGTGTCTGAACTCAAATCGCAGCTCTGTCACTCACTTTTCTGGCCTCAAGGAAGCCGTTTAGAATACCGAGGCTCAATTTTCTCATTTATAAAATGAGGTAATGGCCAGGTGTGGTGGCTTATGCCTGCAACCCCAGCACTTTGGGAGGCCAAGGCGGGCAGATCAACTGAGGTCAAGAGTTCAAGACCAGCCTGGCCAACACGTCAAAAACTCATTTCTACAAAAATACAAAAATTAGTTGGGCATAGTGGTGGACTCCTCTACTCCCAGATACTTGAAAGGCTGAGGAGGTTTGAGAATCACTTGAACCTGGGAAACGAAAGTTGCAATGAGCCGAGATCACACCCCTGCACTCCTGCCTGGGTGACAGTGTGAGACTCCATTTCAAAATAAATAAATAAATACATAATAAATAAAATGAGGTAAGAAGGCTTTTTTTTTTTCAAAGGGTGCTTTTGAAGTTTCTAACTTTTTTTGAAATGCAATATTGATCCTCCCTCCCTCCCTCCCTTCCTCCCTTCCTTCCTGCCTTCCTTTTTTTGATAGAGTCTCATTCTGTCACCCGGGCTGTAATGCAGTGGTGGGATCTCAACTCACTGCAACCTCCACCTTTCAAGCTAAAGTGATTCTCCTGCCTCAGCCTCCTGAGTAGTTGGGACTACAGGCATGCACCACCATGCCTGGCTAATTTTTGTATTTTTAGTAGAGACGGAGATTCACCATTTTGGCCAGGCTGGGGTTGAACTCCTGTCCTCAAGTGATTTGCCTGCTTGGCCTCCCAAAGTGTTAGGATTACAGGCGAGAACCACCTCGTCTGGCCTGATTCTTCTTTCTTTTCTTAAAAAAGACAACTTCATAGTTTTCTTGTCCTTTGCCTTGTTGCCAAGCTTGGAGATGATGAAATTGAGACTTAAACTAAAACATGATGATCACCTTTCCTTGGATGTGGTTGCAGTGAGTCCTAAGAGGCAGAAGGGGGATACTCTGGAATTCTAAGTCCTTAGGAGTGGCTTGTGTTTGTAGTTTCACCTAAAAAAAAAAACAGCTCCATGGAGACTCAGAAGGGTTGGGGGAAGAAGAGGGGTGGACGATGAGAAATTGTTTAATAGGCATAATGTACATTATTTGGGTGTTGGATACACTAAAATACCTCTACACAATAGATACAGTTTGGTTCTGTGTCCCCATGCAAATCTCATCTGGAACTGTAATCTCCATTGTGTTGAGGGAGGGACCTGGTGGAGGGTGAGTGGATGACGGGCGTGGTTTTTCCCATGCTGTTCTAGTGCTCACGAGGGAGTTCTCACAAGATCTGGTGTGTTTATAAGTGTTGGACACTCACTTCTTTGCTTACACTCTCTCTCCTGCCACCTTCTCAAGGTGCCCGCTTCCCCTTCTGCCATGATTGTAAGTTTCATGAGGTCTCCCCAACCATGCGAAACTGTGAGTAAGCCTCTTTCTTTTTCTTACCCAGCCTCAGGTGATATCTTTATAGCACTGTGAAAACAGACTAATACAACAATATATCTATATAACAAAGTTATACTTGTAGTCCATAAATTTGTAGAAATAAAATGATAAAATTGAACCAGTCCTAAATCAGTTTAAATTGAACAAGAATATCAGGCATAGTCCAGGGAAAACTACTCATACTTCTCTCTGATTACATATTTATTTTCTATTTCCAACTTTATGCCTTTCAGCCACATGCTGGCCATCTCCATCACGTGCCTTGGACCCTCTGGCCTCGGGACCCAAGTGATGGCTTTGGCCCCTGTGACCAGCATGTCTTTCTGCTGCCTCTACCGGACACACGTACTGACTAAATCTGGGGACTTTCTTATCTGGTCCAGACCTCCACTGCCTCTAACACACTCATTCCACAAATAGAGCCTCCGGGCCCATGGCTATAGAGCCTTTCCTCTCCTAGAGCTTCTCTCCTCCTAGACTCACAAGCCCTCTGCTTACCTGCAAAGTGACAACCTCACTTGAGGAGAAGGAGCTGAGGCTCACCAGGTGGGAGCTGCTCCAAGTTAGTTTAGCTCAGAGGTCAGGGATCTTTGTAAGATGCAGCATGAAAATGAAGTGCTATGACCTCAACCCCCTCCCCCATCACCCACTGGGCAAATGGCAATGTCTCGTCCTTTAAACTGACTTCCTGCCTCCTAGATCTCTGCCCTGCCTGGTATAGATTGCAGTGATTAACCTTCTCCTGGGAGCTTGGGGAGGGAAGTCTGGATGAGCCCTCTTGCTCATCAGCTCTGCTGTCCTGCTGTACCCGAGTGTGTATTTGACAAGTTTATGGATTTCAAGCAAAATGTATCTAAAACACATTATCTTACAATATGAACTAGAGGAAGCAGTGTTTGAATGATATCTGTCTTTTGGAACCAAATCATTGGGTTGGATGATTTGTTAAGATGTGAGTCGACCAGGAGTGGTGGCTCACGCCTGTAATCCCAGCACTTTGGGAGGCTGAGGCAGGCAGACAACTTGAGGTCAGGAGTTCGAGACAAGGCTGGCCAACATGGTGAAACTCTGTCTCTACTAGAAATACCAAACACTTAGCTGGGTGTCACGGCATACACCTGTAATCCCAGCTACTCTGGAGGCTGAGGCATGAGACTCACTTGAACCTGGGAGGCAGAGGTTGCAGTGAGGCGAGATCATGCCACTGAACTGCAGCCTGGGCGACTGAGTGAGACTCCTCCATCTCAAAAAAAGTCAAAATAATCATAAAAAAGTAACATATTAAAATGTCCCAATTCGTGTGAAGGAGTAAGGTCACTGCTATGGGGAAGCTAGAGATGGCCTGAAGTCCTTTCTCAAATTTCCTGTGATGTTCCTCACCCTTTCGAATGATTTCTCCTTTCTTCCCACTCCAGCCACAGACTGCTAGGAAGTACAGTATTCTTTCTTTTGGAAGGAAAAATAAATGGGAAGGCACAGGATTTTTATTAATGTTGTTACTGGTTTTAAAATAAGCTAAAAATGTGCCGTCAATCCGGTTGGCTGTTCCCCGCCGCCCATGGAGCCTGTAATCACTGCCTTAAAATTCACAGGAGCAATTCACAAAAAACACAGGCAAACCACATCTGCGTTTCCACATTCTGAGCAGCAGAAATAGAGGCAGGGCATGGAAAATTATAGGACTTGAGTGAAACTGTAGGATTGCTGGGATTCCCACAGGCACCCAGCCCTGGCTTGGGGAATGTTTGAGTGTGGGAACTGCCCCAGCATCTCCTCACAGGAGAACCAGGGGATTCGCCCTTTGTGAGAACAGAAGTACCTCTCACCTGCCATCTGGGGCAGAGCTCCTGTGCCCTGGCATCCTGCGCCTGAGGCAGAGCACCTGCGGGATCCTTGGAAAACACAAAGCTATGTGGCTGAAGCTCCTGCTTTGGGGCTCGGGGTTCAGGTGGGATACACTAGACTACTCTCCCCATTCGATTCTTGCATTTGGCAGATGGGTCACCCGGGCAGCGGGATGAGGAGGGCACCAACAAAATCAACAGCAGGAAGGCGGCTCTCACCGGGCCCCAGAGAGGGAGGCAGCGGTCAGGACAGTGGTCATCTGTGGGGCCTGGGAGGAGTGGAAGTTGGGAGGGATGTGGGGGTGGTCCTGGATGATTGTTTTCTTTCTGGACCTGGGAGATGGTTACATGGTCATGGCTGCTTCATGATAATTTTTTTTTTTTTTTTTTTTTTGTCCTTTTTTAAAAATATGTTTGTTATCCATCAAAATCTGAAAAAGCTCCCAGGGCTTTGGTTACTACTCCCTGTGGGGCAGAGAGAGCCCCCAGAATGTCAAGGCTGGATTTCCTACCAGGCTGGAAGGAGGAGGGCTCAGGGTTGTATTTGATTTGTTTGGGAGAGGGAAGGAAACTGGGCATGTCTTACACAAGGGAAAATAATTGTTTTTCCAACATCTGGGTCTCGAAGGTGCTTGGGAAGTGATGATTTTGGGGGTTTCTGCTTCCCCTGGCAGGCTGAGCTGTTCTGGCTAGAAGACCTCACTTGTCTCCTTGTCCACACTTTTGTCTGTGGGGCCTCGCGACCGCTGATGCTGATGTGTGGAAAAGCCACAACCTCCAAGGGGCTCCATCCTCCCAGAAAGCACTCCGCGGAGGAAGGAGAGAGGGGGTAATCAATAAACTCGAGTTGCTATTATTAGTTGTGTTGAACATTTATCACTTGGCAAGCAGGGATGCTGGGGAGAAAATGACTAAAACCTGGAAGGAAGGTGTTTTTATTGGCTACCGTTAACAGATGAGAAAGGTGAGGATCTGGGTGTGTTTGGAGCTTGGCCCAGGTTAGGGAGCTACACAAGCTAAAGAACTGCCTTTCCCTTGTTTCTTTTCTTTTTTTCTTTTTCTTTTTTTGAGATGGAGTCTCACTCTGTCTCCAGGCTGGAGTACAGTAGCACAGTCTTGGCTCACTGCATCCTCCAACTCCCTGGTTCAAGTGAGTCTCCTGCCTCAGCCTCCCAAGTAGCTGGGATTACAGGCACAAGCCACCACGCCCAACTAATTTTTGTATTTGTTGTAGAGACAGGGTTTGATCATGTTGGCCAGGTTGGTCTCGATCTCCTGACATTGTGATCCACTCGCCTCAGCCTCCTAAAGTGCTGGATTACAGGCATGAGCCACTGCACCTGGCCCTGCCTTTCCCTTGTTGAGATTCGGTTAAGACCAGAACAAAGAGAAGCAAGAAGGTGTCTGTCGAGGAGCAAGCCTTCAGGGACTGCCCGTGCATGGCTTCTCAGTGCTCTGACTGCTTGGTGGAATGAGTGCCTTCTCATTCGCCCCTTCTGCCATATGAGGACACAGGGAGGTGGCATCATCAATGAACTAGAAAGTGGGTCCTCCCCAGGCACCGAATCTGCTGGCACCTTGATCTTGGACTTTAAGCCACTAGAACTGCAAGAAGTAAATTTCTGTTGTGTATGAGCCACCTAGTCCATGGCACTTTGTTATAGCAGCCTGACTAGACTAGCAAGCCCTAAGAAAAGGGTCAGAAAATGGTCAGCCTGTCTCAAGAGCCTCAAGATATTTTTGCTAAGGTTTTTTGTTTGTTTAGTTTAGTTTTGTTTTGAGATGGAATCTCGCTCTGTCACCAGACTGGAGTACAGTACAGTGATCTCAGCACACTGCAGCCTCCACCTCCTGGGTTCAAGTGATTCTCCTGCCTCAGCCTCCCAAGCAGCTGGGATTATAGGTGGGTGCCACCACGCCTGGCTAATTTTTGTATTTTTAGTAGAGATGGGGTTTCACCATGTTGGCCAGGATGGTCTTGATCTCTCGACCTCGTGATCTGCCTGCCTTGGCCTCCCAAAGTGCTGGGATTACAGGTGGGAGCCACTGCGCCCGGCCAAGGTGTTGTTGATACCCTCAGATGTCTCTTTCTGTACATACACACAGTTGAGCACGAGTCTTTCCACAACAGCCCACTGTGCACGCTGCTTACCACACACCTGACAATATCAGTCTTGGTAGGTGGTATTGGGGGTATGTCAAGGGGTCCCCTTGGCCTCCAAGATAAAGCCACTTCTGACCTTCACCCACTGCCTTTCCAGACACTTCTCGCAGCTTGCCTTGCACCCCTGCCCTGAGCACCTCATCTTGAAACACGGATACCTTTCCCTCGATCTCCTTTGTTCCTTCGGCCCTGCTGCTTTGCTGCCTATTGCCTTTTTCCATTTATGAATTGTAATAAATTCTACTTTTCTTTAAAGGCTGAGCTCAAATACAGCTTCTTTCAATCCCTATGGAGGGGAGAGGGTGGTCTTGAGCCTCTGAGCCCCTGCAGTTCACTGCGCACTCCTCTCACAAAGTGGGAATTAGGTGAGTGGTCATTTCCTCATCTATCCATTCTTAGAGGACCGCCACCACGCCTGGCTATTTTTTATTTTTTTAATTTTTTTTTATTTTTAGTAGAGACAGGATTTCATTATATTGGCCAGGCTGGTCTTGAACTCCTGATCTCGTGATTTATCTGCCTTGGCCTCCCAAAGTGCTGGGATTACAAGCATGAGGCACTGCGCCTGGCCTAGAATAGCATTTAAAATGCTTTCTTTTTAAGGAGAATAAAATGGGAGGAATCAGCCTATTCAGTTTCAAGACTTATTACCTAACTACTGCAACGGTAGTTGGTAAAGATACAGACACATAGATTAACTAGGGAAATGGGTCTTGGGTAATTGGCTTCAGGCCACCTGGCATGGTGAGGGGTGCGCTATGGAGGAGAATGGAAAGAATTGCATCTGGCAGACTGGGGTGATTTAGGGAGTCCTAGAAACCCCCTTGCCCTCCAGCAGGCTGCTCTAATGCCAGGGCTTCATCTCTCAAGAGTAGATTATACACTCCTTTAGGAGAGGCAGACTGGTGTCCTGGGCAGAGCCTGGGCTGTGGAATCCACCAGCCCTGCCTTCTAATTCTTGCTCAGCTGCTATGAGTGAGCAGCCTTAGGCAAGTGACTTGGCCACCCACAGCTCTGACCACTTCATCAGGAGCACCTTAATGATGCCTACTGTGTAGCGTTTTTGTGGGTGTTAAAAGCAAAGTCCTCCTAGCCAGGTGCGGTTGTTCGCACCTGTAATCCCAGCACTTTGGGAGCCTGAGGCGGGTGGATCATGAGGTCAAGAGATTGAGACCATCCTGGCCAACATGATGAAACCCTGTCTCTACTAAAAAAAAAAATACAAAAATTAGCTGGGCGTGGTGGCATGTGCCTGTAGTCCCAGCTACTTGGGAGACTGAGGCAGGAGAATTGCTTGAACCCAGGAGGAGGAGACTGCAGTGAGCCGAGACTGCACCACTGCACTCCAGCCTGGTGCCTGGCAACAGAGCGAGACTCTGTCTAAAATAATCATAAAAAAAAATACGGGATTGCAGCTCCCAGTGAAAGCGCAGAGAACAAGAGGACGCCACACTTTCAGACAGATTTTGTCACTCACAGAGCAGAGGATTCCCAGTGGAGGAGCCCCACGAGTCACCAGTGCGACTCTTGTGGTCGGCGCAGCGTTTTTGCCGGCACCTCGGTGCGGCAGCTCTTGGTGCAGAGTAAACGGGACTGGTTCCCCTTCTGACCGACGTTTGGAGCTCTGGGAAGGCAGAGTCGCCTATTACAGACTCAAGAAGGAAGCCAGACTGGAGATTCCCGGGCAGAAAAGCACCATCAGTCTTAATGCCGCTGTTTTGGCTGGTGCAGTGGGTTGCTCATATTTTGGCCCTGGGAATTAACAACTTGGACGTCCACTCAGAGACCTAATTTGAAAGTTGGTAATTACAAATATGACAGCTGGATAAATTTACAATAATGGGAAGAAACCAGCGTAAAAAGGCTGAGAATACTCAAAATCAGAATGCCTCTCCCTCTAAAGAGGATCACAGTTCCTCATCAGCAAGGGAACAAGACTTGATGGAGAATGAACACATCCCATTAACAGAATCAGGCTTCAGAAGATGGATAATAAGAAGCTTCTGTGAGTTAAAATAACATGTTGTAGCCCAATGTAAAGAAACTAAGAACTTTGAAAAAAGGTTTGATGAAATCCTAATGAGAATAAACAATTTAGAGAGGAATATAAGTGAATTAATGGAACTGAAGAATACAATATGGGAACTCCGAGAAGTATGCACAGGTTTAAACACTCGAATTGATCAAGCAGAAGAAAGGATATCAGAGGTCGAAGACCAACTTAATGAAATAAAACAAGAAGACAAGAATAGAGAAGAAAGGATAAAAAGGAATGAGCAAAGTCTCCAAGAAATATGGGACTATGTGAAAAGACCTAATTTACATTTGATAGGTGTACCTGAATGCGTCGGAGAGAATGAATCCAAGCTGGAAAATATTCTTCAGGATATTATTCAGGAAAACTTTCCCAACCTAGCAAAGCAGGTCAATATTCAACCCCTGGTAATACAGAGAACACCACAAAGATATTCCTCAAGAAGAGCAACCCCAAGGCACATAATTGTTAGATTCATGAGGGTTGAAATGAAGGAGAAAATACTAAGGGCAGCCAGAGAGAAAGGTCGGGTTACCCACAAAGGGAAGCCTATCAGATTTACAGCAGATCTCTCAGCAGAAACTCTACAAGCCAGAAGAGAGTGGGGGCCAATATTCAACATCCTTAAAGAACAGAACTTTCAGCCCAGAATTTCATATCCAGCCAAACTAAGCTTCACAAGTGAAGGAAAAATAAAATCTTTTATGAACAAGCAAGTACTCAGAGATTTTATTACCACCAGGCCTGCTTTACAAGAGCTTCTGAAAGAAGCATTACACATAGAAAGGAACAATCAGTATTAGCCTTTCTAAAAATATACCAAAAAGTAAAGAGCATCAACATAAAGAAGAATTTACATCAACGGATGGATAAAACAGCCAGTTAACATCAAATGGCAGTAATCCTAAATTTAAATTGACTAAATCCCCCAATCAGAAGATACAGCCAAAACCCAACTGTATGCTACATCCAGACCCACTTCACATGCAAGATACACAAAGACTCAAAACAAAGGGATGGAGAAAGATTTACCAACCAAATGGAGAGCAAAAATAAATAAATAAGTAAAAAGCAGGAGTTGCAATTCTCGCATCTGATAAAATAGATTTTAAAGCAACAAAGTTATAGTGGTAAAAGGATCAATGCAACAATAAGAGCTAACGATTTTAACACCCAGATACATAGAGACTTAGACTCCATGAGACAGAAAATTAATAAGGATATCCAGGACTCGAACTCAGATCTGGAACAAGTAAACTTAATAAATATTTATAGAGCTCTCCACTTCAAATACACAAAATATACATTCTTGTCAATACCACATCACACCTACTCATAGGTTTAAATGAAATATTGATTGGCCATTATTAATACCCATTTTTTAGAATAAAGCAACATTTCCATTCTCTCTCCCTCTTTTTCTTCCTCTTTCTTCCTCTCCTTCACTCCTTTTTTTTTCTTTCCTTCTCGTAAAAAAAAAAAAAAAAAAAAAAAAAAAAAAAAAAAAAAGCAAAGTCCTCCTAAACCTCCAGCTCCATCAATCTTCCCTGTAAGGGTCATGCTCTGCAATGCAAGTGTGTAGACACCAAGAGGTTCACTGCTCACAACTACTCACGTTGGATGCTTTTTAATTTTTATTTACTTTGAGACAGTTTCTCTCTGATGCACAGACTGGAGTGCAGTGGTGCCATCTTGGCTCATTGCAACCTCCACCTTCCAGATTCAAGCAATCCTCTCTCACCTCAGCCTCCCAAGTAGCTAGGATTACAAGTGTGCACCACCATACCTGGCTAATTTTTGTGTTTTTAGTACAGACAGGGTTTCACCATGTTGGCCAGGCTGGTCTCTTACTCCTGACCTCAGGTGATTCATTCGCTTGGGCCTCCCAAAGTGCTAGGATTACAGACATGAGCCACTGGGCCTGGCCAATTTTTATATTTTGATGGTTTTACCTACTGTCAAAATTATACGAACCTGAAACATTTGAGTGCTTCTCTGCTCACAGGTCCAAACTACTGCTTGGAAGCCATGTGGAGGAGTTCTGTGTCACCCCTAACTTTCTATATGACCTTGAGTAAATTACTTTCCTTCTCTGAGCTTTCATATGTCTGGCTGGTTGAACTGTGATTTCAACTGCAGACATCAGACTGAATCCAGTAAACTCAGTTAGTGAGTACTGAGGTGAGTCTAGGGAAAAGAGAACTCTCGGCAGGCTGTTGGCTTTGCTGCTAGACAGAGAGCTTGGGAGTTGGGAGGATGGGCCTGTAACAGGAATTGAATTTCAAATCGGGATCTCTGGTTTCAGAGAGAAGTGGCTTCTCAGAAACATGCGTTTCCAAGTGTATGTCTTCTGCTTTTCCTGTAATGAAGTGAGGGAGACTCCGGAGGCCTTCATTCCCATTTTGTCCCTGACCTGACTTCTTCACATCCCCTCCAGAACTGTCCCTCTATGTGGTCTTTGGCCTTCAAGCTTCTTGCCACTGCACCTTCTCTCATGCCTCTCTCTGGAATGCCTCTCTCACCTTCTCTGTGCTTCAAAGCCTTATTCACTCACGAACTCAGCCTGCAGGACTCCACATAGAATTAAACTTCCCTCCTCTGGAGGCCTGTGGACTTGCTCATTGAATCAGTCAAGTGTCTTTGGTACAAGTGGTCAAGGGCATGAACTGGGTAAAAGATGGTCTGGGTCTGTATCTGACTCTGCCGCTCAGTGGCTGTCAAACTTGGAACATCTCTGTGCTCACTCCTCTTATTCATGAAATGGGGTCAATAACTGTGTGTTCCTCGTAGGGATGTGTGATCATTCATTTGGTGCATGGATGTATGGGAAGTATCTAACACTTGACGTGGGGTAATCACTAGGGGACTGTGGTGGTTACTGCATTCATCTTGTGCTCGAATCGGTTTTTATCCTTTTGTACCCCAACCCCAGACCCCCACATTGTCAGCTATCTGAGAGCAGAAGCCATATTCATGTTTACATTTCCAGTTCCTTATCTACGGCTTGGTACGGGGGAGGCTTCCCCAAATGTGGCTGGGATCTGGTAGGTGGCTTTGTTCCAGGCCATTGATGCACTCTCTCCACTGCTGAATGGAAATTAAAATCACCACCTGAGTTACCTCCGATATTTCCATTTGCAGATTATGGGAAAGGCTCCTGTGCTTTTAGGAAAAGGAAGCTTGCAATCACCTGGCACAATACCTAGTACTTTCATGGATGCTATTCATTTTAACCTTTTCCTAAATGCCCTGCTCTTATTGTGCAGGTGAGGAAACAACTTCAGAGAAGTAAAGCAGCTTGCCAAAGGCCACACAGCTATTCAGTTGACTCCAGGGATGGATGTCCCCAAGCCAGCACTCCTGCTTACTTGTTACTCATTTGTAAATTCCATGGTTGGTGGTAGAGGACAGATCCTGGAGAGGGTATTGAGTGGTTTGGGATTTACTAAGACACCTCTTGCTTCACATATAGCTGATGCTGAGTCCTTCAGAGGAATGTCTTCAGCATTTATGCCTGTAAACCCAGCACTTTGGGAGGCCAAGGTGGGCAGATCACGAGGTCAGAAGATCAAGACCATTCTGGCTAACACAGTGAAACCCCATCCACTAAGAAAATTAGCCAGGCGTGGTGGCACTCACCTAGCTAGTCCCAGCTGCTTGGGAGGCTGAGGCAGGAAAATTGCCTGAACCCAGAAGACAGAGGTTGCAGTGAGTCACTACACTTCAGCTTGGGAGACAGGAGTGAGACTTCATCTCAAAAAAAAAAAAAATTGAGAGCCTGCTGGGGAGGCAGGGAGCAGCTATTTCTGCTCAAGGCAATCACTGAGGCTGGGCCTGCACGGAATTCGTGAGGAAGCACCCTAGAGAAGGCTGGTGGCTTGGGAGACACTGGATTTTCTGGCTCAGCTGGGCACAGTGCAAGGTGCTGTACATAAATGTCTTCACCGATTCCTGGAAGGATGCCCAGGTCGGGACACTCACTGTGAGTTGCAAAAAAGGAAAGGGGAGCCCTGAGAAGGAAGGCAGGAACAAGGGCTCCTGGCCAGAGGTGTGGAGCTGCATGGAAATCTTCTCGAGTGGGATGCCCAGGCTTCCCTACCAGATACCAGAAGCTCCAGCTGAGTGGCTCTGCAGAAGGCTAGGTATCACTGGGTGAGTGGGCTTGCATCCTACACACTCTTCATCCTCCAGGCACTCTGGGTGGGGACAGCTTTCTGGCTGAGCTGGGTGAGAGTGATCATAGCCAGCAATCCCAGCTGGGCCTTCAGTTCTTGATTCCAGTAAAGGCAGGGGCTACGGGGTGCCCTGGTGCACAGAGGCTCACTGGCTGCTCAAGGTCTCCTCCCACATCCATCCACATCCTGGCTCAGCGCTGATTGTGACATTCTGGAGGACAAGGCTGGCGCTTCCACAGTGTGTACCTGCCTTCTGGAAGCCAGGCTGCCAAGAACTGGCTCTTAGCCACTGCGTCTTCCAGGTCCTTAGAACTCCAGCCAGAGGGCTGCCTGTAGGGCTTGCTTCTGTGCAGCTGCTCAGAGCAGTGACAGCACCCCTCATCTCCTCCCTGTCCACCCCACAAATGCCTCTTGCTTACCTGGGTCGTGTCCATGCTGGCCTCTGCTCTTGGGGTCTGGAGAGCCAGAGCCACCAAGCACAGACAGGCCAGGCTCAGGGAGCAGCCTGTGGTGGGGCAGCCCACCTGTACTCACCACTTCCTTGTACCTTCCCACCCTGCAGCATCCTCCATGGATGCAGGTTCCCTCCATGCCTCCATCCAGGGGCATCCCCACCCCTCACTGTGACCCTCTCCAGAGCCCTCCACCCTCCTCTCTGCTCCTTCCTCTCCTGCCCTATGCCTGCCCTACCTGACGCCTCAGTCTGCTCCGACTTCGCCCTGCAGGTGCTCACATGGGCACAGCTTGGCCTCCCTCCTGAGGGCCCTGCCCAGGTTAGCCACAGGAAGGCACCTTTGGGCCCACCAGGCGGTGACTGGGTAGTGGGGACAAGGACTACGATGCCCATGGCAGTGGGCATCATGGGTGGGGGAGGGGTGTGGGTTCCTGGACCTTTGCCCTGGTCCTGGGGTGGGCAGGAGAAGGTCAGGAGATCGAGAGCATCCTGGCATCGAGACCAACCAGGGGTTCCTGGTTGACCCTGCACACATCCTCCGGGGTGGTTGCCAGAGGACTGTGCAGGGGAGGCATCCAGCGGCAGCTCAGAGTGCAGGATGGGGGGAGGTGCCACTGAAACAAATGCTCAGGAGCAGCTGGTTATGGCAGAGCTTTCAATATATGTTCCTGTACATCTTTTCAAACATATACAAAGCAACTCACATTTTCGTATACAAGAAAGGCAGACCAACTTCATTAATTTTCCTGCAATATGTGCATAGTATTAAAAAGTACTATAGCCTTCTAGTTTCTCTCCCCAATTAAATATAATAAAAATCTAATAAGTGCACTTTAAGTTAATATCATAGACAAAATTTCATCGAGAATCCCATCACCCACATGTTACCAAGGGAGAAATTTTACTACCTCTCATTTCAGGCCAGTTCAGGCCAGTGTACATTGTCTCAGAAGGGAGATACTTCTTTCTGATACTGGAGAGTCACCAGAAAACAGGACAGGCCGCTCATCTCGCCCACAGGCTAGGTTCTCCAGATGCCACTAGGTTTGCCAGACGCCAACTCTTGTCAGAGTTATTCCATTTGCCTGTTCGGAAAGGCAGCCTTCCCCCTACATTCCTACCTCCTGGGCTGAAGGCCCGCCTGAGGTCTGGGGCAAGGAGTGAGATTGCACTTGCCCTGTGCTGACAGTGGACGGGAGATAAAGGTTTACGTGGGAAAGTACAGCCCCTCCAGCTTCAGGGATCAGCTGACAGCGCAGGGGGGAAAAGCCCCAGAGGAAGATTAGGGCAGGGCATGCCTGCTCACTCACAGCCTCAGTAAAAGCAGATCCGTTATTACAGGGCCTTTAAAGGGGGAGGATGTGTGTGGGTTGATGGGATCCTCACTGATGTGTGACCTGCTTTTTCTAGTGTTTGCGAGGATGTCTCATTAATCTGCAGGGAAGTGCTGGTTTCAATTCCATGGTTTATTTTCCTGTTTTGTATCCTTTCTGTTATAAACGCAAAGGGTACATTAGGAGCCGTTCCCCATCATCTTGTTTTTTTAAAAAAAACGTGTTTTTTTAAAAAAGGCTGGTTTTTCTCAACACGCCTTTAAAGGTTTTTAAATTGTTTTATATCTGGTCAAGTCGAGATTTTTAAGAACTTCATTTTTAATTTGTAATAAAAGTTTACAACTTGATTTTTTCAAAAAAGTCAAAACACTGCAAGCACCTGTTAATAAAGCTCTTAAATAATTGTGCAAAAAAATTTAGTTGTTAGAGTTTATTTTATTTTTATTTATTTATTTATTTTTGAGACGGAGTTTCGCTCTTGTTACCCAGGCTGGAGTGCAATGGTGTGATCTCGGCTCACCGCAACCTCCGCCTCCTTGGTTCAGGCAATTCTCCTGCCTCAGCCTCCCGAGTAGCTGGGATTACAGGCACGCGCCACCATGCCCAGCTAATTTTTTGTATTTTTAGGAGAGACGGGGTTTCACCATGTTGACCATGGTCTCGATCTGTTGACCTCGTGATCCACCCGCCTCGGCCTCCCAAAGTGTACTTATTTATTTTTTTTAGAGTTTATTTTATTTATGGAGATAATTCAAATCCAGAGCAACACGTACCTAATCACAATTCTGAAAACATTTTAGGAGGAGCAACACATTGGTTTTTCCTTTTTGAGACATGTAAGAAGGTGTTCATTACTGCAGCGCCTTGCTTATGCCTCAAGGCTTGCTTAGTGCTGCCCTCCAAGAATACCGCTCCGTCCCCTTCAGGATGGACAGGGCCCCATGTCCTTCCCCTCGTACATCCTTCATAAAACCTGTCAAGTAATGGTTTACATGGCTCACTCCCTCCCAGATATGAGCAGGAACTCATCTGCTGAGCTCACATCCAGGCACAAAGATAACATTTAAAAAAAATGGGCTGGATGCGTTGGCTCACACCTGTAATTCCAGCACTTTGGGAGGCCAAGGCGGTCAGATCACCTTAGGTCAGATCACCTTAGGTCAAGACCAGCCTGGCCAACATGGTGAAACCTCATCTCTACTAAAAATACAAAAATTAGTCAGTATGGTGGTGCATGCCTGTAATCCCAGCTACTCAGAAGGCCGAGGCACAAGAATTGCTTGAGCCCGGGAGGCGGAGGTTACAGTGAACCGAGATTATACCACTGCACTCCAGCCTGGACGACAGAGCAAGACTCTGTCTCAAAAAAAGAGAAAAGAAAAGAAAGAAAATTTGTGTGTAGTCAGACTTATTAAATTTAGGAGCTGCATAATCATGAAAACTGTATCCCAAGAAAATTAAATGGCTAGCCAATTTGATGAACCATTTCCTGAGCTTGGTCAATTGACTATAAACAGTGGTGCTTTCTCAGCATAAACATTCTAAATGTGGACAGGAAGTGTGCTGTGCAGAACAGACAGATTATTCTTTTAACTACATGCATCTGGAAGGTCCCTCGGTCATTCCATGAATTTGTAGGGAAAAAACCTTCCTGACCAGGAGACCGATTCTTTTTGGCCAAACTGGGAACGATGCCAGCCTATAACATTGTCAGTTAAACACAGCAGAAGATTCAGAGGGAGGCAAATTAAAAGTGACAAGGAGCTATCCATTTTTGCCCTGTATTTTTAACAAAGCTTTTAAGTTACTGTGCTCAACTTAGTTACCAGACAACCTCCAGGGTGCGAGAACACTGACTGGCCTTATCTTCTGGAAAACCACAGGACAACAAAGCTTTAGGTCTGACTGAATAATATGCTTCATACAGGTCTGAAAATAATAAGTATGGCAGGGTGCGGTGGCTCACGCCTGTAATCCTAGCACTTTGGGAGGGCAAGGTGGGTGGATCATAAGGTCAAGAGATCAAGAACATCCTGGCCAACATGGTGAAACCCCGTCTCTACTAAAAAATACAAAAAATTAGCTGGGCGTGGTGGCACGTGCCTGTAGTCCCAACTACTCGGGAGGCTGAGGCAGAATTTCTTGAACCCAGGAGGCGGAGGTTGCATTGAGCCGAGATCGCACCACTGCATTCTAGCCTGGTGACAGAGCGAGATTCCATCTCAAATAATAATAATAATAATAAAAAGTATGAACAGAGATTTATTTACAAGAAACGTCTTATAGAGTTATTCATAAAAGCCAAGATTTTTTTTTTTTTTTTTTTTTTTTTTGATGGAGTCTTGCTCTGTCACCAGGCTGGAGTGCAATGGCGTGATCTCGGCTCACTGCAACCTCTGCCTCCCGGGTTCAAGTGTTTCTCCTGCCTCAGCCTCCTGAGTAGCTGGGATTACAGGCACCTGCCACCACACCTGGATAACTTGTATTTTTAGTTGAGATAAGGTTTTACCATGTTGGCCAGGATGGTCTTGACTTCCTGACCTCGTGATCTGCCCACCTCAGCCTCCCAAAGTGCTGGGATTACAGGCATGAGCCATTGCATCTGGCCAAGCCAAGATTTTTAAAACGTGAAAATGAAAGGTTCAACAATAGGAGAATGATCACATCGATGATGACACATTTGTATGTGGGCTGAGACGTAGCTGGTTGACAGAAATGCTCATACATGGTCTCAGTAATATGGACAAATATTCCTCATGAGATATGAAGGGGAAAACATTGTTCATATAGCTCAATTCCAAGTATTTAAAAAATCTCTGCTAAGGCTGAAAACATATGAACTGAATATTAACATTGTTAGAATACAGATGCCAGCATTACAGTAATTACTATTTACTATTCACTTATTTATTTTTATTTTTTCATAGTGACAATGAATTCATTTTTTTTTGAGACTGAGTTTCATTCTTGTTGCCGAGGCTGGAGTGCAATGGTGAAATCTCAGCTCACTGGAACCTTCGCCTCCCAGGTTCAAGCAATTCTCTGCCTCAGCTTCCCAAGTAGCTGGGATTACAGGCATGTGCCACCACACCTGGCTAATTTTTCTATTTTAAGTAGAGACAGGGTTTCTCCATGTTGGTCAGGCTGGTCTCAAACTCCTAACCTCAGGTGATCCGCCCGGCTTGGCCTCCCAAAGTGCTGGGATTATAGGTGTCAGCCACC